AATAAATTTAAATTTTTTTGTTCGTTTGTTTTGTTTCTTCTAAGATGGAGTCTCACTCTGTTGCCCAGGCTAGAGTGCAGTGGTGCAATTTCAGCTCACTGCAAACTCTCCCTCCCAGGTTCTAGTGATTCTCCTCCCTCATTCTCCCGAGTAGCTGGGATTACAGGCACACACCAGCATGTTTGGCTAATTTTTGTATTTTTAGTAGAGATGGGGTTTCACCATCTTGGCCAGGATAGTCTCAATCTCCTAACCTTGTGATCCACCCACCTTGGCCTCCCAAAGGGCTGGGATTACAGGGGTGAGCCACTGCACCTGGCCAAAAAAATTTTTTTTCTTAAAGAATAGTCAAAGTAAAATCAATAGCATCTTTTATCCAGAAAAATAAGCGTGAAGAGCAGGAAAGGTTAACCTCATGAAGCTCTGTGTCCTTTGAGTGGAGATTTTAAATAACATATTAGTGTTCACAGTCCAAAAATTAATCCAAATTAAACTTACTCAGATTAGTCATTGTGCTTATCACCTGTGTTTGAATAACAATGTTCCTTTTTCTTTTCTGAATTCAAGTTCACAAATTATTTAGAATTTTTGCATGACAGTCACTTCTGGAATGCAGAATTACTTACAGGACACAGGTATTACTCGGTGGAGTTACCGAGGGCCCAGCAAATAAGAAAGAACAAGCTGTTTCCCTGTTGTTGGCTCTACAGCTCTATAGTTTTCCAGAGAGGGAGAAGGGTGGTGTTCAGATTATCATTCATGATGAAGCTTTTAAAAGATGTCAGCTGCCCACCAAATCATAGGATGATGGAAAGGGCCTAGGAGAAATACAGTTGCTCTGACTGCCCTTCAAGGAACAGCACCAAAGTCATACTGAACACCAGTTTTTAAACACTTTTCTGAAAAAGAATAAGAAGCTTTTAGCCCTTTGCTACAAAGACATGGTTGAAGAAAATGCTGTCAGCTCCCTGAGGGCTGGCTCTGTCGTCTTGTTCGTTTCTGCATCCCTGGTGTCCAGCACAGTGCCTGGCATACAGCAGATGCTCAATAAACATTTGTTTGAGCGAATAAATGTTTCAAGAAGCCAATGGACAAATCTTTAACATCACTCTATCCCTTTATGGAATGTCTACTACAAGGGAAGAATAACACAATAGTGGTTTTATAATACTCCTCGGGCCCTGAGGCTAGGCAGATCTGATTTCAGCCCTCACTTCATCACTACTCACTATAGAACCCTGGTCAAGTTCTCTCCATCTCTCTATGTATGTCTCAGTTTCTTCATCTGCAACTTCAAATGAATAATGACACCAACCTCCCCGGCTTCTTAAGAGGATTAACAAAGACAATGTATGGGAAAAATGTAACATGGTGTCGCATAATTATTAGATCTTATTATTGACACTAAACTTGCATTAAAGTTAGTAAAAGAAAGACAGCATTTTGTAGGTAAGCTTTATTTATTTTATTTATTTTTTCATTTATTTATTTTTGAGATGGACTCTTGTTGTATAGCTGCCCAGGCTGGAGTGCAATGGTGCGATCTTGGCTCACTGCAAACTTCATCTCCCCAGTTCAAGCGATTCTCCTGCCTCAGCCTCCCGAGTAGGTGGGATACACCACGCCCGGTTAATTTTTGTACTTTTAGTACAGATGGGGTTTCACCATGTTGGTGGGACTGGTCTGGAACTCCTGACCTCAAAAGATCCACGCACCTCTGCTCCCAAAGTGCCAGGGTTACAGGTGTGAGCCACCACGCCTGGCCACATCTTATAGATAAACCTTAGAAATCTTTTTTCTTTGTTATGAACCATTTTAAATATATACAAAAGTAGAGTATAATAAATTGTTGACACGCAGTTTCAACAATTATCAGCTTGTAGACGGTCATCCCCTTTCCCAGCCCTTTGTACTATTTTGAAGCCAATCCCAGACATTATGTCATTTCATCTGTAATACTCGGATAGGTGGCTCTAAAAAAATAATAAAAATAATGACCAACATTCCACATCATATCTACAAATAATGAATAATGATTCCTTCATTAGATACATGGTTGGTCTGCTGGAAGCCACAAGAAGAAAGGAAGAAGATAATCAAGTCTGTTGAAGGCAGCGGCTTAGGCAAGTTCTCTCCAGACCCAACATGATGGAAATACCCGCTGTCACTGTCAAGGTGGACTCTCCCTGCTGCGGGGTGGGGCTGAGCTAGGGGAGGGCAGGGAATGAAGCCAACTTTTCTCGCCTAAAAGGAGGTAGAACGGAAATTCCCTAGTGATTAAAACTTTCTTATTGCCCAAACCAAATGGTACTTCATCTGAAACAATTCTGTACAAATTCCTCTGCTTCCAGAGTGATGGGAAATTAGAATTTACTTTTATCTTTTCATCTACCTGGAGGCCTGTTGACAGCGTTGGCTTTTATGCAGGTTCTATTACACAATTAGAGCTAATCGAACAGTGACAGGACTGGCCTGGTTTCTGAAATTTAACGGAGCACAAAAGCTCACATTTTGGGGAGAATTCAGTTCTTAAGTATGTTTTGCTTATCCCACTTCCCCCTAATTTCCCCTCATTTGTTTGACAAAGTCAGCAACCCAGTGGAAACCTCAGTTTCATTCTCTGCTCATAAAACCTTGAATTTAAATATTTTCCTTTTATTTTTCGCTGGAACTTGGAGCAATTTGGTTGAAGCAAAATGAGATCTATTGGTATTGAAGCTATTGAACATCAATAGTCCAAACCCAGATTATCACCCCTCATTAAAATACCAAAGTCAATTTGAGAAGTCTAGAGCTCAGTGGGCATTAGTAGGGAACTGAATCACAATGCTGAGAAGGTTGCAAGCTAAGGAGCATGAGGAGGTGAAAAGGGAGCACAAAATGCGCTGCATGTTTCCTCTTTCAAAGCAGTAGCTACCTTATACGCACCAAAAACTTCATTTGGAGGAGATACAAGCCTAACTTCAGAAGTCTGGCATAGAACTGAGGCACCGGGAAACCCGATGTTAGCCTCACAAACCTTTCCATGTAGGGCTGACCTCAGAAAGCATGCATCGAAACTGCCCTCCAATAACTGAACTTTGTTAAATGACAAATGGTAGTAGCCAGGCCCACTGGGATCTGTTTTCTCAGGAACTTTCTAGATGTTAGGCTCTCTTCTAAGATGCTTTGATCAGGAGTGAGGTTTTCCCTGCACGGCCCCAGCTTCACCCAAGGCCTCACAGTCTCAGGTACCCGAGTGTCTAGAAATGTTCACAGATACTGAGTCATGGGGTTGGGATGGAGGGTCTACACTTGAGAACAACTCCTCTGCTCCTGTCTATGTGTGGAGGGCCTACCCTTCCCTCTCTCTTTGAAGGCTCTGCCTCCTCCACATCAGCAGCACCCAGCCCTCTCCTTTTAGCGCTTTTATTTTCCCCCACTTCCCCTTCTACATTCTAGTCTTGGTTAATGGTGTGGTGGAGGGTGGGAGGCAAAGTGGCTTTGCAAGGCGGCTTCTGAAATTTTTTGTCTTCCATTTAAGAAGGAGAAGAAAGAGACAGAGAAGGTTAGATGGAGAGAAGTCGTAATCCTGCCGTAGCTTCTTTGTGTCTACTTTCCCTTTAGAAGCGAGCTTCAGAAGGCAGGGCAATGTCTGTCTTATCTGCTGCTGCATCCTTGCTGCTGAGACAATTCCTATTTTAAGGTGGTACAACAAATATTTGTTAAATATTATTGGATGGATGGACAGATGGATACCACTTAGCAGCCATCATTATTCCCTACTAAAGGAGCTATTCTACCAAGAACATGAAAGAGACTATACAAGAGAAAATAGAAGCCAGTATATATTTCCCCTTTTGATTTAAAGAGCCTTTCTTTTTATCAACAACAACAAAAAACCTTTATGACTTGTGGAAGCCAAAGCAACTGCATCTTAGATGCTAATCTGCCATGTTGACTTCTGATTAATCCCTATTCCAGGAGGCTTCTAAGATTTCTGGTTTATCTATTCCTTGTATGAAAGCATATATTTGTCATAAGTCCTGCCTGTAGGTCAAAATGACCTCGATGTTATTGTACTTCAGTTGTCACCCACATCCCTTCTGAATCATGCATGCCCTTTCCCCATGGTATATAAGCCCTGGGTCTATAGGGTAATGGGGTGAGGATCCATCATCTTGTCTGGCCACTGTCCAGGGCACACACATGGCTGTTCGTAAGTCCCTGTTCAGTGTTGCTTTCTGAGAAACTGAATATATCAGCCTCTTTCTTTGGTCTCTCCGCTTCCTTTAAGGGTAGGTTTGCACAGATCAGCTCACTATGGAACATGACTTTTTTGTGCTTTCATGTGTCATTTTAGTACCTCTAAACACATGTAGTAAGAAAAAAATGGTAAGAAGAATGATACAGATGACCTGGTTCAATCAGATTTCAAAGACAATGTGTAAAAGATCTAATGGAGTTCAAAAGGAGCGTCTTCCCCACTCATCTTTTTAAGGAATCATGTGGTTTGACAGGCTCGGAATCTTTTTCCAGCTTGCTGGAGACTGGGTGTGGAAATGGAAGAGGAAGAGGCATTAGCTAAATGGAGCCCAGGACCACCACGGAGTGGGGAAGGCTGAAGAGTACGGCAGGGAGCCCCAGGGAGAGCCAGAGGCAGCGGGAGGGTATAGGGCATAGCAGGGAGATTAACTGGGGAGCTACCAAAATGGGAGGAAAAGGAAGAATCAACGAGAGACCCCTCTTGCGTTGAATCACTGCCGGGGGCCCTGATAGCTGCAACTGCCAAGCATATTACTCAAAATCACCCTGGCAGCCAATTTCTCGTCCTTGGCAGCCTCTCCACCTCCTGGGGCCAGATTCCCTTAAGGCCCCACAAGTCTTTTTGTTCACCCACCTGCTTGTCACTTGCACAATCCCTGCACTGCCCTGCCCTCCGGGTCTGCCCATCCTCAGTATCTTGCCTTTCCACAGCTAGTGAAGTCCCAACAAAAAACAAGCTTCCCAATAAAAACGAGCTTCTGCATAAAAGTGACAGCAAATGTTCTTTGAAGTGGTTTTTATACTTTCATAATTCTCCTAAAATAAAATAATATAATGTAGTATTGAAATAAAACTGTAGTTGATTCACGGAACCATCTGCCTTTGGTTAAACCAGGAGCGATGGTCTGCTTGTGGATTTATAGTTTCCTCTTTGGTCCTGAGCTGTCCTCTCATTAAAGGGAACACTGGTGGCCTGAACAGTCGTACTTGCAACCATGATGCCTAAACATTGCTCTCTAGGCTTCCTCATCAGTTTCCTCCTGACTGGTGTAGCAGGTAAGTGCTTTGTTTCTTTTTAATTGCTCATAGCTTTGTCATAGGAGTCCGATCAAGGATCTGTTAGAAATGGCACTCGTGCTTTTTTGGACTTTATAAAGGCTGCAGCTTTTGATGTCACTAAATGAGCAGAACAGGCATGGGGTTAGTGTCTATCTGCAGCTTGAAAGACCCCACATGTACTTAGCGAGTACCCACTAAAGAAAAGGCACTCTAGAGGGTGCAGAGACTTCATACAGAACAAATGTACATGTCTCTCTCTCTCTCTCACTCACTCACTTTAGAATGTCTTTTACCTTGAAGGAACACTATATCATGGTGGTTACCAGCACAGGCTGCTAAGCCAAACTGTCACAGTCTGGACTTCAGCTCTGCCATTTTACCATATAGGAAAACTTGGGAAATTTATTTAACACCCCTGTGCCTCAATTTCCTCATCAGGAGAATGGGGATTCTAGGTCACTGTGAAGATTAAATGAATTAATACACGCCAAGTGTTTAGAGAAGTGCCTGGCACAGAATAGGGACCACAAACAACATGTGAGAGTTCACTTCTGGTATTCTTGGAGGAAACTTCAGGTGTGTAGAGCATCTTATCACCACTGCATACTTCTGAGCAAGCATAGGAATCCAAATGCACAATCGGGTACCTCTCAGTGTAAGCTATTCAAGTAACTTGCCAAGATGCTACAGTTGTCCAGTGACTAACACATAAAAGCGATTCCAGCCTTCATCTTCCAGAAATGTTTGGATTTGAGACTATGCCTCTGGTCCTTGGTAACAGCAAGGACTCATTTAGCAAAATACGGCAAGAATTCAAATGCTACCAAAATGTTCCTGGCTCTGCGTCTTACCAAGCCTGTAACCTTGAGTAAGAGAGGCAATTTTTTAAAGCTTCAGCTTCCTCATCTGTAGAATGCAATAAAAATATCCTACTTGGCAGCTGTGGGAAGTAAGTTGTAAAGCTTTGAACAAGGTACTTAATATAAGTTAATGTTCATATATGTTTGATGTTTGATGAATGTCAGCAAGAAGAAGGAGGAGGAGGGAAAAAGGAAGAAGATAAAGTATACCCTCAGCTTCTAATTGGTCAGCCTCTTTCATTGGCTCCTCTCTCCCATGGCTCTGCTCTTGGTCTTCTGTTGGAGGAAAGAGGCAGACTCTGCAGCCAGACTGTCTAGGGGACAAGATTGGCTTCACCATTTGCTGCCTGGAAAGCTCCTTCAGGTCTTCCAGGCTTGGTTGTTTCAGTCTATAAGAGGAAGACCATGCACAGTACCTTCCTTGTAGAAGAGCTGGGCAAATTAAATGTGTTGATGCAGATAGTCACTCAGTGCCTGGTGACGAGTGAACTGTTCTTACTGTTAGTGGTAGCAGGGATGTTACAAAAATGAGAGAAGGAATCCATAGACAGAGAGATAAAGGGCATTAAGCCATCTTTCTTCATGTTAGCAAATCAATTCTAGGCAGGCCTTCAGGAAATGGTACCTGTCATCTCCTGAACATTCCTGGAATTTTTAGGTTCTAAAGATGATCTGTCAGGCGGTGATTTTTGTGAGCAAAATCAATTGTGGCTGTAGACTCTTTCCAAGTACATAACAGCCTTTGGTGCACTGAAAGTGGTCCAAAAAATACAAGTGAAAACAAATTAAAAAACAAATAACAGTATTCACACTATTTGGTTGGTAAGAATAAAGGCCCGAGGAAATAGCCTTGTTCATTTCAAAATAACAAATATTGAAAGTTCAGAGCTGAGACCATGGGCTTGAGAGTATTTTTTCACCATCTCAATAAGGTGATACATTTGAGCAAAGACTTGAAGAAGGTGGAGAAATGAGCCACGTGAAATCCAGGGTGAGAGTAGACCAGAAAAAGGGAAGGGCCAGTGCAGAGGCCCTAAGGCGGGGTCACCGGGGGCATGGTGGAGCAAGGGAAGGAGTCAATGCGGCAAACACAAGGGGTCGGGGTGACAGAAGATGAGGTCAGGGAGGAAACACAAGATATGCCTCCTGACTCCTTATCCCTTAGAAGAAACCTTGAACCCTAAATCAAGTTTTCCCCAAGTGCTCTTGCCTCTATGCAACTAAAGGCAAGTGAGGTTGTCCCACCTATGTCGCATGATTTGAGGAAGAAAGCACAAGTCATGCCAGTGCAAAATTATCCCATATCCTGCCACGAGTAGTCTCAGAAACACTAGGTCCCTGCAGGGTCTTGGGCAGTTTTCCTCATTAGCATGGCCATTTCATCTGAGGGATTATGCTTAGAGACTTGGAGCCAGGATGCAGGCAGGTAAATACAGCCATTCAGGAGTGGGACAGCAAGGGCGGACCTACCTGGAAGCAGGACCCAGAGATTGAGCAAGAATCTGAGAAAGGAGGGACTGAGTGCTGGGCTGAGGGCCTGGAGCCAGAATTGGTCCCTAGCAAATTTAGCTTGCATAGTGCTAATATAGAGGTTCCTAAGAAGATGGTTGGTGGTCTTAGTGTGGGTCCTTCCTTTCAGTCATTATATTCCATCACTATTTGGGAATCAAATAAGAACAATATTTTTTCACTGCAATTTGCTTCCCCTACAGCTTGGGAAATAGGGTGGGAAGATATCATGTACGTGTTTAGGATCTGGAACTCGTCATTCTGAAACTTTAGTGTGCCTTAAAATCATTGCATTGGAGGTTCAAAATGTTGATTTCTGGGCTCCACCTCTACTACCCGTGCTTACAGCACCTACTTTAGGGAATCCTGATGTGGGTATTCCATTGGAAACTACTGCTGGGAACGACGGTACTCCGAACAATGTTCAATGTTCTTCCTTCTCCTATTATCTTAGGAACTCAGCCAGCCCATGAGTCTCTGAAGCCTCAGAGGGTACGATTTCAGTCCCGAAATTTTCACAACATTTTGCAATGGCAGCCTGGGAGGGCGCTTGCCGGCAACAGCACTGTCTATTTTGTGCAGTACAAAGTGTAAGTAAACTGAGTTTCCTTCAGCTGATAGAGACAGCACTGGGATAACATGTTCTAGAATGCAATGGAGTGTTAGGATCCAAGCTTTTTCTCAGTTGCAGAGGGGTTGAGAAGAAGCCAAGGTTGAGATAGCAGTGACTTGTCTCCCCTGAAGGTTGCCTGGGGACTCAAAATGCATGATGATGTGCAGCGCATTGGGCAGATATTTCAGCCCTAGACCTGCACCAAGACCTCACAGGCTCAGCCTTTGCCTCCATGTTGGAGCCTGGCACATGGTGGGTTCTCAATACAAATTTGTCAAGCGAATGTTGGAAGCAGTTTATTTAGCACATAGCAAGTACTCAATGAGTGAAACTATCACTAGTTGAAAAAGAAGTTAAGTTGTGGCAAATGTGGAGGTGAATGTGCCAAATTAAAAGTGACTTTTAATTTAAAAGTCACTTTCAGGGCTGGGCGCAGTGGCTCAAGCCTGTAGTCCCAGCACTTTGGGAGGCCGAGGCAGGTGGATCACGAGGTCAACAGATCGAGACCATCCTGGTCAACATGGTGAAACCCCGTCTCTACTAGAAATGCAAAAAATTAGCTGGGCATGGTGGCGCATGCCTGTGATCCTAGCTACTTGGGAGGCTGAGGCAGGAGAATTGCCTGAACCCAGGAGGCAGAGGTTGCAGTGAGCCAAGATCACGCCATTGCACTCCAGCCTGGGTAACAAGAGCAGAACTCCGTCTCAAAAAAAAAGTCACTTTCAGAGTGGATTTACTGTTTAGAAAATTGTTTTCAAACACTAACAACTCCTGTAAGCATGGACACAAACGGGAGCACGCTGCTGCATGTTCCTCTCGCCTGATCTTCAGGCTAATCCTGCTGGATCGTTGCCAAAGCTCAGATATAATCTATTCCTTTCCTGGCTCAAGGCCTGGAAACAAACACATCTGATTTGAAAATGGCAGGTTTTTCCATTCCTGTATTTCTGGGGGATGAGGGGGGTTGAGGCTCTTCCTCCTCTGACAGTGAGACAGGAGATATCACAGTTTAGCTTTCATGGTTTTTCACTAGAAATTCAGAAAATCAAATGCAACTATGGGCTAAAATAGCATTTTTTTATCCCGTAAATTCATCCATGTCTCTCCAGCATGGAGCAGGTCCTAAGTCAGATTTTTCTGCTAATTAATTTCAGAAGGACTACCCCCAGAAGCATCTCCATCTTTAACTGCTGCTACTTCTCTCTACATATTTTATGTAGGGATTGCAAAATTTATAAATATTTACAATGAACATTTCTCCATTACAAAAATAGATTTGTGCATTGCTGGAGATACTTTCAGTATGTCAGAAGTAGAGATTGGCACCCTTTTTATACTTCCCCTTAAGCAGTATAAACAGGTCAGAAGTTAGAAACTGTATTACCAAGAATCTAATGAAGATTAAACTTCAGGACCCCATGGAAGGATTTTATATTTATAAGTCTTTTCTTAAAGAGGACTCCAAAGCTGCTGTGGCTGGAGTTTGTCTCCACCAAAACTCACATTGAAATTTAATACCCAGTGTGGTGGTGTTGGAAGTGGGTCATGGGGATGGAGCCCTCGTGAAAGGCTTGGTACCATTCTTGCTGAAGTTGAGTGAGTTGTCACTCTTGCAAGACTGAATTAGTTCTCATGAAATGTTTCTATGACAGTGGGTGTGGTAAAGCCGGGATGCCCCTTGAGTGTTTCCTCTGCCACGATCTGCTTTTCCCATTGATCTTCTCCGCCATGTTCTCAGGCAGCATGAGAAGCTCTCACCAGAAGCCCAGTGGATGCTGGCACCACACTTCTTGTAATTTCCTAGGCTGCAGAGCATGAGCTAAATAAACCTCTCTTCCTTATAAATTAATTACCTAGCCTCAGGTGTTCTGTTATAGAAACACATAATGGACTAAGACTATATAAATTTCAGACCCCAGAATACCTGAATCCATTCCTGTCTCTAAGGGATTTTCAACAGCAGAAGGTAAATTTATAATTTTGAAAACTTTCACTTTAGTGTATCCAGTTCATGAGCTATACTATTATATCCCTTGCATTTAGAATAGGATGAACAATGAGATATTATATTAAAAAAGAAGTCAGTCATTACAGCTAAGTTAATGACTTATTATAAATAAATAAATAATTTTAATACATCAAATTATGCTCAATACATGTTGTGGTTCTGCTTTAATTGTGATAGAATGAAACTGCTGTCAACATGTAGATTACTGAGTACAGATACTGTCAGTCTTCCTTATTATTTGTCTAGAAAGTTTGATTTCAAGTCTTTCAATAAATATTTTGAAGAACCTTTCTCCCCAGCCTCCAATTCCCTCTCCCTTCCCCACCATCACCTTTTGCACTGGTCTGATTCATGGCTGGTAAGGAATTGAAGAGTGAATCTTCTCTTTGGCTATTACAACACTCCGTGGCCTCAGGCTGAGTCAGCCTCTCTTGCCTGTTGCCTCATTACCTTTTTTCAGGGGTTTCCATCCCCCCTCCCAACCCCTAATTACAGGGCTCCATATACAGTCCTCACTACAAGTTCCGGTCAGTTTTCAATAATCGTATATTTGGGTAAGCAACACCTGAGATGGAAAGTGGTAGCAACTTCTCAGAAGCAGCCACATTCTTCAACAGCAAGCTGAGGAGAAGTGGAGAAAAACCACAAACTGCCAAAACCTCAGAAGCGTTGAGGACGTGGAGAGCGAGTATTCAAAAATGGAAGTCAGCCCACATACCAGAGAGAACATTTCGCCGAGTACTAACAAAAAAAGCTAAAACCCTATGTTAGTGATACAGGAGGTGTTCGGGATGTTTATCTTCCAGCAAGACAGCACTTTAGTTAATGCTGTGGTTTCTATGTGGCCTCCAAAAGTTCATGTGTTGGAAACTTGATCCCCAATGCAGCAATGTTGAGAGTTGGGACTTTGGGGAGATGATTGAGTCATGAGGATTCTGCCCCCATGAACGGATTCATCCATTGATGAATTAATGAATTAACGTGTTATTGAGGAAGTAGGCTAGTTTTCACAAGAATGGGTCTGCTCTAAAAAAAAAAGCCATCTCTCCTGAACCCCTGTGATGTCGTGTGCCACCTTAAGTCTCTGCAGGGAGTCCCCATCAGCAAGAAGGCCCTCACCAGATGTGGCTCTTAGACATTAGAATTCCTAGCCTCCAAAACACTAAGAAATAAATTCCTTTTCTTTATAAATTACCCAGTCTCAAATATTCAGTTATTGCAACAGAAAATGGACTGAGACAGTTAATAAGAAGGAATCTTTTTAAAGATTCTGAAGAGCAGCCATATGCTTTCATGGTGGTATTGATACTAGAATCAGGTATAAAGAATTATTAGTCTGAAAATACTGAAGACTCCTTGAGTGGAGAAAAGAAACTCAGATCTTTGCCTTTTCACTGCAACAGGTATGGACAGAGACAATGGAAAAATAAAGAGGACTGCTGGGGTATTCAAGAACTCTTTTGTGACCTTACCAATGAAACCTCAGACATACAGGAACCTTATTACGGGAGAGTGAAGGCAGCCTCAGCTGGGAGCTACTCAGACTGGAGCCTGACGCCACGGTTCACTCCCTGGTGGGAAAGTGAGTTCCATGGAGTTTCTTTGCTCTTGTTTTTCCTGCTTTTGGACAGCCCTCCCAGAGCATGGCTAGAGACCACCAGGCCTGTGCTTTGCTGAGGTCTACATCATTATCTCCATTTGGTCTAATTCTCAGAACAACTCTAGGAGACAGCTTTTATTATCCTAATTTCCCAGCCCAGAACAGCAAGATGTAGAGGCCTTGCTCAAATATCATGGCTAGTATTACCCAAGTCAGGGTTCAGATTTGCTGCTCTGAATTCAGAGCCCCCACTCCATCAATTTCTTACTGCATGTGTGTATGAGTGTGTGTGTGTGTGTGTGTGTGTCTCCCTTTGTCACCCAGGCTGGAGTGCAGTGGCACAATCTCAGCTTGCAACATCCACCTCCAGGGTTCAAGCAATTCTCCAGCCTCAGCCTCCCGAGTACCTAGGATTACAAGCACGTGCCACCATGCCCGGCTAATTTTTGTATTTTTAGTAAAGATAGGGTTTCACCATGTTGGCCAGGCTGGTCTCAAACTCCTGACCTCAGGTGATCCACCCCCCTGGGTCTCCCAAAGTGCAGGTATAGGCCACCACACCCAGCCCACAAAAAAGTATTTTTAAACAGCAGAATTTGTCATAGTGCCCTAGTCCTTTCCCAAACACGAGGGTTAAGTTCCTGAAAATACTCATATTAGAAGAATTTTCTGTTGAGGAAATTTTAGTCACCTCCCCAAAAAGGCAGACCAAAAGTGCTCTCTCAGTATCCATTCTGAATGATATTTATTCCTCATCTGGTTTAGTCACAATCATAGAATAATATAATCTAAGATGTAGCTGATAAAATTAACCATTACCAACAGACCTTGTATAAAATAGTAGAGAAAAGAAAGAGAGAAGGGGTTTAATGTATAGGTATAAAGATGTGCACAAACAGAACAGGAGAGAAAATTAAGGTATTTACAACAGTCCTCATAACTACAACTCGCCACAAAGCCATAAGTAATATTCATAACCTCTCCCCTCATTATAAACTCAACATTCACTTTCTTTTCAGCCAGCACCTCAGCTCTTTATCCATGAGGAATCTGAGTCCTTTTGGTGTCTCCTGTCACAGCTCGACCTAACCTTACATTAATTTTTATCACTGAATAGAGAAGTTCTAAGAGGGACACCTGAGGCTACCAACAATTCTTCCACCTGACCCCGTTGTATTTGTAATTGTATTGTGCCTTGATAATCAGAACGAATCACCCCAGACAATATAAGAACCTCATTTTCTTTTTGCGGGTTGAATGGCACGAGGAGCTCCAGAGACCCTTGACTTCCAATTTTTGGAAATCACCTTTGTTATAAACCAGAATTCAAGGCCAAGTATATGGGAAAGAAAAAAATGTCATGAATTGTTCACTATGGGTAACAGTGACGGTTGCTCCTCTCACTTCCACTTCTGGTATCCTAGGCCAGTAAATTCTGTCCATGGAAGAAACAGCACCATAAATTGGCCCCAGGCTTAGTGAAGCATTTACCGGTTGGAGCATTTATCAATTCATACACCACTTCACAAGATGTCTCTCAAACTGAGTTTTCAATTACCCATTTCACCTTCCTATAAAGTCATGGATTTCTGAGTGACAAACGAAAAGGCCCAATATTCCTGTGGGTCTGAGACCTTTCTTCACTCCTTTCACATTAAGTCCTGTTTCATAAACAATGTATGGTGGAGTGCTATGCTCATAAATAAGGCATTGACTACATCTGTGGGTGTGTGTGTGGTACCAGGAGTGGGGAGGGTCTGCTGATAAAAGCACTGAAGCAGTAAATACAAATCTATAAACAGAATCTGTAACCAGAATCTACACCCAGCAGTAAAGAAAAATTATAACCAATGTCTCTTGTCCCCTTCCTCCTCCCTTTTGGAAGAGAACAAAAACAAACCTACCTGCAATGAGATGGCAGATGAGAGCCCCTAAAATATGGCACTATACTAGGAGTTCAACATTGTTCTTCACTATTGGAAAGTTAGACACTTGACAGTGTCAGACCAACCTTGGTAAGAGGAGATCCATATTGCTAAGTCTATATATAACCTCCATCATGCAACTATTTTGTTCAGGAGTCCATAGAACAACTATAGGACACTGGGGAAATAGACTGTCCCTGCAGCCACTTAGATTTTTGTAAACAGCCTTATTGAGGTATAATTCACACAGCTTATACTTTAAGCATATAACATACAGTTTAATTATTTTTACTATATTCACAAATATGTATAACCATCCCTCACAATTTTAGAACATTTTTATCACCTCAAAAAGCAATTTCATACCCTTTGCCTATCACCTTCCAGTCCTGCCATTCCCCTAGCCCTCAGCCCTGGTAACTACTAATCTTTCTGTCTCTATAGAGTGCCCTGTTCTCAATAGACTTATATGATATATGATTTTTTGTGTCTGGCTTCTTTCACTTAACATGTTTTCAAGGTTCATTCAGGTTGTAGTGTGTATCAGTACTTTATTCCTTTTTGTGGCCAAATAATAATTCATTATATGGATATACCACATTATACAGATAATGAGGATTTATCTATTCCTCAGTTGATAGACATTTAGGAGTTTCCATCTTTTGGCTATTATGAATAATGCTGCTATAAATAATCACATAAACATTTTTGTGTGCGAGGTTTTTGTCTGTTTGTTTTTTGAGAGACAGGATCCTTCTCTGTCACCTAAGCTGGAGTATAGTGGCACAATCATAGCTCACTTCAGTCTTGATCTCCTGCACTCCAGCAATCCTTCCACCTCAGCCTCCCAAGTAGCAAGGACTATCAAGTATGTGCCACCATAGAATGACTGGGTCTCATGGTAACTCTATGTTTAGTCATTTGAGGAAATGCCAGAATGTTTTCAAAGCATCTGCACTATTTTACATTAAGGAGTATATAAGGGTTTTGATTTTTCCACATTTTTACCAATCTTTTTTTATTATAGCTATCCTGATGGGTAGAAAATGGTATCTCATGTGTTTTTTATTTGCATTTCCCTGCTAATTAATGATTTTGAACTTCTTTTTTATGCTTATTGGCTATTTTGGACCTTCCTTTGGAGAACTGTCCATTGAGATACTTTGCCCATTTAAAAAATTTAGTTATATCTTTTTATTTTTGAGTTGTAAGAGTTCTTTATGTATTCTGCATACCAATGCCTTATCAGATATGTGATTTTCAAATAGTTTCTCCTGTTCTGTGGGTTGTCTTTTTACTTTCTTGATGGTATCATTTGATACCAAGTTTTAAACTTTGATGAAATCCAATTTATCTATTTCTTTTTTTGTTGCTTGGGCGTTTGGTGTCATATCTAAGAATCCTTTGCCAAATCCAAAATCATGAAGATTTACCCTGTATTTTCTTCTAAGAGTTTAATGCTTTTATCTCTTGCATTTAAGTCTGATTCATTTTGAGTTAATTTTTGTATCTGGTGTGAGGTAAGGGTCCAATATTATTTTTTGACATATGACTGTCCAGTTGCCCCAGCACCATTTGTTGAAAATCAATAGACCATAAAAGTGTGATTTACTTCCAGACTTTCAATTCTATTTCATTGATCTATACATTTATCATTGTGCCCATACCACACTCTTTTGATTACTGTTGCTTTGTAGTAAGTTTTGAAATTGAAAAGAGTGAGCACTCCTCTTTGTTCATCTTTTTCAAGGTTGTTTTGACTATTATGGGTTCCTTGCAATTCTCTAACCACCTAGATTTTTTAAGACCTCCTTTCAGTGTGAGCCCTTTGCTCCCTTTGATTTGCACTCATATGACCACAGAAATATTCACATTCTGTATCTTAGTACTTAGGGATCCATCCATATACCTCTTCTAACTGGTGCAAGGTCCAATTAGATTCAAGTTAATTGGAGCATGTACAAAATGCAATTGAACTCAGAAAAAGGAATTTTCCCCCAATTCTCTAATTAGCAGGAGGTGGAACAGAGTTGAGCAAACTAATTCATGGTAACTCTCACATTGTTTCTTGGATAAATTGAAATTCAAGGTCAATACACTCAACTAGCAATTCTCTAGCTGAGGAAAAGGAGATTTCATAACTAACCTGAGGAACACCAGTGGGGGAAGTTCACAGATCAATTTGATTTTTATATTCAAGCTTAGAAATAAGGTCACATTCAAATTTATTTACCAAACAAAGCCCTCTCCAATCTGTGCCATTAAGCCAGTCAGGTATGAATAGCCAAAGACATTGGCTGACAGCTTTAGCTCAATTCTATTTAAATTGGGATAGTGTTAAGAAGGGTTTGTGTGTTCTCTGTATGACCATTCTCCCTAAAAAAGAATCAGAAAAGAAAAGAAAAAGCTTTAGACTAGGTCCCTTAAAAAGCCATCTTATTTTATTGCAGGGCCTCTTAGTAGAAGAATAAGAAACCCAGTCTATAAATAGCTGCTAGTCTTGTTGATGCAATAGTGAGGGGAACCATCCACTCAGCTGCCTCCTCATCCCCAGCTTTGCATCCTCTTACCACAGCTCCTAAGGCTTTCTAAAGAACATATTTCAAAAAACATGTTTCTCGGTCCTCAGTACAGCATGTTCCTGGCATCTGTGATATAGACTAATGAGCCAGCTGCATGCGTTGGCTCCTGTGACACCCATTTTTGAGCAGCATGATGTTATCTTAGATTAAGAAGTTCTGATTTATGGTGTCTATAAAGTATTGAAATGCGAGATTATAAAATTAACACCAAGACAAAAGTATGCCAAATTGCAGGGTCTTTATTGCCGGTGACCATGGAGGACTCACGTCTCTCCAACCCGTGGCCCTGAAAGGAGGGTGACAAGACCCTTTTATGCCCGTAAACCACCTCTGGGGTGGGCGTGTGGGGCAGGGGTGGGTGTGAAGGGATTCAAACATTCTGAAGGCCAGGGGATTCCGTAAATCACCTCCCGGGTAGAGAGGAAGGAGCGGGTCTCCAGACATTCCAAGGGCTAGGGGACTTGTTGTCACTTCG